CATCTTTGGACCTTGTTGTGTTGTTTTTGTTTTTGGTTGTTGTTGTTGTTGTTGTTGTTTGCTGTTGCTGTTGCTGTTGCTGTTGCTGTTGCTGTTGCCGTTGCCGTTGCCGTTGCCGTTGCCGTTGTTGTTGTTGTTGTTGTTGTTGTTGTTGTTGTTGTTGTCTTTGTTGTCGCTGTTGTCGTTACCGTTGCTGTTGCTGATGCAAAAGGTCTGTGCTTACGTATGCTCCTGTTGCTGCTCCTACCTCAACCATCACCACCAACAACGACAATAACAACAGTAAGAAGAACAACACTATAGACCATTACAGCGACGACTACTTCTATGTTCGTACTGTGATCTGTACTACAAGGGACCACCACCGTCGCCAAGGCTGTCCATCCCAGCTAGGACCAAAACCCTAAATTCAAGAACCTACCGTCCGAACCCGGCCGAGAACCCGAAACCCAAAGTTGACCTACAACTCCGAAACAGCTGAAGTCCTCGCCAGCCTAGAGACCCGAAGAACTTCGTCCTGAAGCCCTAATTCGCAAGACCCTTTGCATCTTGGCTTTGAGGCCCAAGCCCTAAATCCTAGACCCCAAACCCTAAACTCAAAACGTCCTAAATCCCTAAACCCTAACTCATCTGACCCTAAGATAGGTAGAGCCTTGGCTTCCTTCACAGGCGTCGGCAAAGCTTCGATCTCCTGGAGGTCGAAGTGTGGCTCGAAGGATAATGTAGGGACCCTATTAATTAGAATAAGGTTTTGGGTTCCTTTACTATAGTATATATGTATATATAGTAAAATAAGGAACCCTCCCCCCCCTAAACCCTAAACCCTAAACCCTAAACCCTAAACCCTAAACCCTAAACCCTAAACCCTAAACCCTAAACCCTAAACCCTAAGGAATCATGTTGGTAATTACTTATATTAGGCTTTTGTATTAGGGGTTTAGGATTCAGGGCTTGGGACTCGCAGCTTTCGGCTGAGTCGTTGGGGTTTGGGGCTTTATGTAGGTTTAGGGTTTAGGGTTTAGGGTTTAGGGTTTAGGGTTTAGGGTTTAGGGTTTAGGGACAGATATCCACTGTAAAGCTCGAAAAGACTTCGGCACTAGACCAGAAGCCAATGTAGCAAGATCGCATGGTGTTTGTCAGCTAGTAATATAGGGGCCTTATAATAATCAGAATAGACAGAATAGAGTTTTGGGGTATATGATACTATAATGGTATTGGTGCTTATATGGGCCCCTATACTAGGTAGTCAGAGTACACATGACATGTGCACAGACTGACAGAAGCTTTCTCTCCGTCAGTGCTCGGCAGGGGCGGTTGTCGACAGACTGAGTTGCTGCACACTACCCATTCAAACCCCTAACCTACCGCCCCACAGTATCCTGTCGAGCAAATAGACTGAAGCTTCTGCATAACCTTCAAACGGGGAACTCCGAGCAACACTCACACCACACCTGAAACACCCTAAACCCTACAAGCATCAACAACCTAACCTAAACGACTACAAAGTCCAAGTGAAAAGAGCTGTCGTTCAGGAAAAGTTCGCTCCTTTTGCAGATCTGCGTCCTAGGTGTTGGTGGGAACGCGTTGTAGCCACCGGTTTGACAACTCGATGATGCCCCGTTGTCCGTACAAAGTCACAGGTACTCGCGATCGTGTTTTGAAGCTCAGGGGTCAGATCTGTAAATCTGCAAGTACAAACGTTTCTGACCGAGTAGACGTTGGCCAACCCCGATGTAGGCCTCGTCCGTAAGATTCGTCGGAGTTACATAGGCCAGTTGGCCTCTCAGACGCTTATGGCTTATGCTTTTGAGGCGCATACGATCAGGAATGGCAAGGATACGTGGCGTAAGTCGAACCCACGAAACCGCAGGAACCAAATTGCTGAAGCGCCCCACTCGGCTACGATGAAGCCGTACCGGCATTATGCAATAACCCTTATTCTCGGAATTACTGGCGACAAAACCTATACGAGTACGCACATTCACGGAAGCCGCGGATGCACATGGCTTTCGCTTGTTTTGGAGGATTCGTAGCTAAGCTGGTGCATGCTAGCGACCCGGAGAGTGCCGAGTATGCCGCGGAGGTATTCGCAGATGGAGTCGGAGGCTTATCAGCTGTTATCAGTTGCCAACAAACCAGCCGCTTCGGCTTATATATAATATATTTCTGACAGCTTTCAACATAGGCCAGCATAAACTGCGAGTCTGGTGGCCAAAAGCCCCTCATAAACAGTGCTGTGTTTCATAGCCCCGCAGCGCGGACTGCGTTGCAACGCGATCACTGTAGTGCAACTGCACAGGTGATCGGCCCTGCACACCCTAAACCCTAAACCCTAAACCTTATCAGCACAATCCGGTGTAAGCCGGAACGTGTGCCTAACGGCCCCACGGTGTCGAACTTAAAGGCGAACTCCCTCGACCTCGGCACAGGATTAGGGTTTAGGGTTTAGGGTTTAGGGTTTAAGGATTACAGTCGGCCAGTCCAAGCGCCAGTCGACTAATCTGGGAGGTTTGTATGTACATACAGAGAGGGAGAGAAGCCGAGAGAGAGAGAGAGGTATGTATCTATCCGTTATATATATATATATGTATGTATGTATGTATGTATGTATGTATGTATGTATGTATGTATGTATGTATGTATGTATGTATATACACACATGACAACTTCCTGCGGACGAAGCGGAAGGTACAGGAACATGTCCTAAGAATCCAGCAGCACGTGCGGGCAGTCGCTGATGCGGAAGACACTCTTCCAGCCGATTCCCTGTCACATCAACTGGGCTTTATTTAATATTCGCCTTTCCTTCCGAAAAAGCCCAGCTGCACGCATAATGGGTGTACACTTTGGTGCAATGGGTCACTCTCCTACAGATTCAGGGGCACAGACCTGGGGCCCATGGACGGCAACCTATATCATTGAATCATGGAGTAACGTGGCTTCTGGGGCTCGCTCCTAGGAACATACAGACGTCTAATTACAACACTGGCCTGATGTCGGCGAAGAGTGCTGACTCAGACGACTGCGCATGCCCCGCTGTTAAGATTCATTACCATTGTGCTACCCCTATTCATGCGACTCTTCTGCCGCTTCTTCGTGTCGTGGCTTGTGGTAGAAACTCCGCACGATGGATGGCAGTTATGGTGAGTCTACTGCAATGTAAGGCAAAATCTTCCATTGCAGGGTCATCAGAATCTAAAGTTCTACGGCCACCTGCGAATAGGGAAGAGTTTACATAGGGTCGAGAGAATTTATTTCAAGTTTTTGGACTTGGGGTACTCATATTTCTTTGCCCTGCACCTCTAGACAACATGGCCCAAAGATGCGCTGCCAAGAGAGCCTTGTGACCTGTCTGCCCGGCACCCTTCATGCTCGCGTTGACGTTGCAGATGGCTCGGACATCCTGTGACGGGCGTTTTGCGGGGTCACAGACTCACCTTTCGGGTTTTTTTGGCGCTTGCACGAGGAACGATGGTGAGGTTTGTGGATTCAGGGGTCGGGTCTGCGTGGGTTCAGGCTTGGGTGATTGAGCTTCAAGCCCTGGTACTCTGATTCAGGAGCCGGGTCTTGCTCACACCCGCAAGCCCTCAACACAGAAAATTTCCGGGGGTTCCTGTTAAGGGTTCCTTAAAGGGCTCTATAAGGGCTACTATAAGGGTTTAGGGTATAGGAGCCTTAATAATTAGAGTAGGGTTTTGGGGCCCGTTAGACTATAAGCATAATACGGAACCCCCAAAAAATAGTATGTTGTAATTCTTTAGGCCCCTACATTACGTTCCGCACCCGCATTCCTTAAAGCGCTGCCGGCACCTCTCGAGACAGGCCAATCTCGTTGTTGGAGGTCCAAACCTCGCTTTGAGATCTCAGGGAATTTTAGGGATAAGGGCAGGAAGGTCGGGAGTCAGGGTTTAGGGTTTAAGGTTTAGGGTTTGGGTTCTTTGTGATGTTTATAGTGCTTTGTAGAGTTTAGGGTTTAGTGATGTTTGGTGCTCTATAGGGTTTAGGGTTTAGGGTTTAGTGATGTTTAGTGCTCTATAGGGTTTGGGTTTAGGGTCTTATCGCTTGGGAATGTTGACGGCTAGGGTGGTTTCGGGTATATGAAAGACTTCCCTGAGAAGCAATACAGCCTGTTAAAATCACGGACACTCCTCGCACTTCTCATTTTTATGGGCATCCCCTAGATGCAGGGGAATATTAAACAAAATGAAGGCTGTTAGACTTATCAGGAGCCCGCTTTTGATTTAGGGATTTGGTTGAGGGGATACTCGAAGACCTGAGAACACGAGACGGCCCACAAGCCTTTGCCGAATTCATCTTCAGAACATCCTCGCCCACATGAGTCCCTGTTCTGGGGTGACGTAGAGGGTTTTGGCGATGTTTACCGCGAGGACTTTGTGTGTTCCGGCTGAAACACAGTTGAAAACTGCGAAGTCATGTAAGGAGCTGACGTACGCACCCAGAGACGCATCCACCTCCATGGAAAGACAGAGCTCCGGAACCTCAACCTCGCTTGCATACCTCCATGCACAGGGCTTCTTCGTGGGGCAGTTGGAGTTCTTGACTTATACGACGAAAAACTCGATTCTTCAGTCCGGCATTCTGCTTGAACGGGGCTATACGATCATAATATGGATCTCATGGTATTAAAGAATTGGGGTGCACGGAGGAGATTGGTTGAGATGTTCGGGATGTAGAGGCTTGGGCCTCAGGCTCCTGATGACCTCCACATGCACCGCTCGACCAAAACGCAGATAGAGGACTGCCAATCTTGGCCCGGCAGTCACCATATGCCCACAGTATTTCGAGCGAACACTTGCGCACTTGTTGTCGTCGGCGTTCTGGATGAGCTCCCAGAGGCAATGACACTCATCTGCATAAAGGTCCATCGCCAGCCTCCCGAGTCTGCCCCTGTCTACAGCCCTGCAATGAATGACCATGGCTCCCCATTCAGAGTGAGTTTTGACGAACTCGATTCAGTCCTACACAGTAGAATCCTGAAGTTCCTTACCATGAAGATAAGCCTTCCCCTGTGCTCCTGGAAAGGTTGTCCGAAGGAAGGTCTGCGATATCGCCATAAGATGTCAACCCTCTGAAACCCAAATCGCAAATCGTCGATGCATTTCCAGGACCAGTTCGGGAGGGAACGAATCCGGGAGCAACCCGGAGGACCCGATAGCGACTCTAATGCAGGAGCCACGCAGGTAGATGTGCGACAGGGCTGTGTCTACGGGCCGCAATGGCAATCGTATATGGCTGCCCTACAGCAGACTGTCCAGAGTGAAACCTCGGTCCAAATTTTTCAGGAGGGACAGGTGGCAACATGTCAGGACGCCTTTCCACAGCGGCGCATAGCGACCTCTCAGCACACAAGATGCTGCGGCAAGCTCAGGCGGCGCAGAAGTAACAGCTAAACCGCAAACAAACTTGTTGCAACAGGACCACACTGGCCAGCAACGCTACTGTCATGCTCACCATATCAAAACTGCAGCAACTGAGGCCAAGATATCCACGATACTAGCCCTGCACTTTGCCTGCGCATGCCGAGCAGTCCCGCTTTCACCTCATCTGTGATGCCCTCTTCCCATTCGCAGTTCACCAGCCTGGCAGAACATCGAGACCAAGCACTGGCTAAAGATGTGTGTGGGGGCGGTGTGGAGAAACGCTCGGCTGAAAGTGCAAACGAAGGCTTCAGCACCGCTGCTGTCTGCGGGGTTCAGGCTTCTTGTGTTGCTCTTGCGAAGGCCTCCTGCACAGAAGTCTTCGGGCTCTTCCGTCTCAGGTTCAGAAACACTTCGGCTTGGGGCTCAGGGTCCTGCAAGCACCTTCCAACGCAAGACTCGTGTACACAGCCCCTTAGTTGAGACTTCGCTTTGACGTCTTCGGATCCGTACCTTCCGAGATACGCACCCCAAAATCCTCCAACACATAGCAAGCATTCGGCGATGTCCTGCCAAAGCTTCACCCGAACAGGAACTACCTTGAACTTTATAAAGCCTTGTCAGAGTCCTGTAAGGCACCTGTTAAGAAAGCTAGGAACAAAGTTTTTCGAACTGATTCAACTGATGAGGCATAAAATGCCAAGCAACATAGAGCTTCCCTACGTTTCCTGCCTCCAACACCTACCCTCATTGTTCAGGCACCTATAATCCTATACCAAACAACAAAAAAACCTATACATAGTTTACTCAGCAATCCCAAACCACCCCTGGAACCCTAAAACCTAAACCCTAGAATGGATCCAGACTTGCCTGTCGGCCCGGATGCTTTCGACCACGAGCTTTGCTTCGGCGAGGACGCCTGGAGGGTCTTGTTCATGCAGCATCACGAATGTGGGTGGTTGTCAATTAGGGTCCCTTTTTGGGTACCCTAAATATTAGGTGCCGTGTTATATTACGGAGCCATAAAGGGACCATAATTTTGACAACCACCCATGTATGTACGTGTAGGTAAAGTGCACCTACAGATTCATGTACCCATCCACCCATCCATCCACCCACCCAGCCACCCCCCCAAGCCAGCCAGCCATCCATCCGTCGATATTGCAGCTCATGACTTCTGCTGTTACCATATGATGTGTTACTGATCTTATGATGTTTCTCACAGCAGAACTGAATCTTTGTCAACACAATCGGCATGTGTTCTGGATGGTCATGCAGCAAGTGCTGCTGCCATCTTTATAACTTGCAAGGGTCGGGTTTGAATAACCCGTTTGTCACTATCGACTGTACTGTTGTCAGTATTAGTTTCTGTACTGCCGCTGTGACTATGCTGTGCCATGAATACGGTGATATTGATTCCCACCAACATTTCTCGCCCTCGTGCCGTCTGGATCCTACACCGTGTCTGACTGAACACATGTCCCGTTGCTATTCTCGCCACAGGCGCTGTCATCCAACTTCGGGGCTTCCAACAGAGGCTGCTTCTTCTGCGGAGCTGCTGCAGCTTCCTCCTTCATGGCTTCAACCCGTTGGGGGTCCAGGTCTAGGTGTTGCGCTTGGCGGGTGGAAAGTTTGCGTGTCTGCGTTGACAAAAGGAGCATCTGAAAAGACTACCGTCTCGAAACCCTAAGCCCATAGCAGCACAACACTTACCCTAAACCCTAAACCCTAAACCCTAAACCCATAGCAGCACAACACTTGTGATGGCTTCCTCCGCAGGTTTCTGCGGCTCTTCGGAGACCCGAGTCGGCCTCAGGGTGGGCTTGGCTTTCTGCAGGCCGGGCCCTAGGACTTTCAAGGTGTCAGCCTGTGAAGGACAACCATCTCAAGGGTGCAAGGCTTAAGGGGGCTCCGTGGTATTGCAATTTGCTGCAGAACTCAGGAGGTCAAATCTTTCAGTTCTTCCAGGACCGAGTGGAGAATGGCTTGAACCACGGCTTTGTCTAGTCGGCGAAGCAGGCACGGCACAAAGGATGTAAGTATCTCAAGTAAAGCTGTTTGGGAAGGTAGGAGGTCACGAAAAGTATGCCGACGAGAGGAGTCTATAACATCAAAACCTTCACCTGGTCTGGGAATTGATTGCGGGATTTTAGTCGCAAGGTTTTCAAGGACGGGGGTGAAAATCACAACAGTTCCGACACCTCTAAAGTGTGTGCGGCTGTTACAGTGCGAGCTTCTGGGGGAAGGGTCGGTTGCGAAGGTGAGCATTCGAGATCACTACTGTATGACGGGTTATAGAGTGCCTCGGAATCGGCATCTCGACCAAGCTCCTTCTCGTGTTCTCGTCCTATGTTGCAGGACAATAAGTCTCATCACCATAATCAACCAACGGCCGACTCTGTTTCGGCAAGGCACTGAGACTTGGCTTTGGGCACGTGCCTTGGCTGCAAGCTCGGCTTAGGGCTTTGAAGGCTTAGGGCTTTTACGGGGTTTTTTTGCCAAACAGTTTGCTTTTGCAGTTGGCCCGTTTCCATGTCAGCCGAATACTGAGGGACACCTCCGGTCCGTGTTTTGCGTGGGTTCAGAGGCGGGTTGCCAGACTATTTCCGACCTAGTTCACCAATGCTTCAGCCGTGTTCGAACACGTATTATTGAGTTTGGGTATGCACCATGTCATGATTCTGTCCTTCAGTGAACCCACCTAGCTGGCCATTGTTCTACTTTCACGGAAATACAGAGTAGCCAATGTTGACACATGACTGTTTGGACTTAGCTGCTCACACATTCAAGGTATCATCCGTACGACTGCAAGGTGTAGCGAATGATCATATCACCCAATGTCACTGGACTTTCAAAGAAATGTTCATTATTCGCGACATGGCAACCGAAATGCAACTACACGCCACGTGAGGATTCATGTTCTGATAGTCACAAGAACACCCACACACGATTCAGCTGTGGCTAACAACCACCATGATAGTCAAACATTTTTCGACACTAACTTCAAATGATTCGTCACAGAAGCACAAATGCATCTGCGACAAGTATGGTTGACATGTTTGACACTAGGTTAATGAATAATATTAGCTGAGAAATTGCCATGTGGCAACAGCTGACAAACTGTTTAGGTATATGCTTCTGCAAAACATACCCCGAATTTCACTAAGGTCTCTCGTGATCAACATCTTGACAATGTATGCAACTCTATCGCCATTCACACGAGACGCCTTGCGTGCAAGAAGCTTCGCGCGAGAAAACAACGACATGACCAGTGCAATGAGCGAGAGAACCAACAAAAAACAACTACCACCACCCCCTTCACAACAGAAAATGACCGGCCTACGGATCGCTGTATCTGCGGCATTTTGGTCTTCTTGGTGTCGGTTGTTTCGTGGCTTGTTAGACTATGTCCTATGTGCTTACCACTAATGTCACTATAGCAACGGCCCTAGGGCGACAGCTAGCCCCTTGCCCTAAACCCTAAACCCTACTTTGAGAAAGCGCCCTGGATGCTGCATCAGCCAAGTTTCGAGTTGCTACCGGCACGGCGGGCGATCTCGGCTTCCAGCCGGGAGATTCGGTCCTTCAGGACTTCAAAGGGAAGGGGTTGGGGATTCGGTTCGTACGGGGCATAAGGTCTCGACTGTTGGGACACAGGGCTGCAGGGATATGCAGGGATCTAGAGTTTCGATGAGCGGTCCCATGCTCCTCGTAGGCGAGGGCCTTCTTCGCACAGCGCGCCTGGTCAGAACGGGAGATCTCGGATCGCTGCATAAAGTGCGAGGGACTTCTTCGGGGCACCTGGATCTCTCTAGGAGCTTCGCCAAACAAGGAACCGTTTTCAAACCATTGAGCCTCAGGATCCTTGACAAGGGAACTCTTTTCACTTTTCTAAAAAGCCGACGTCTAACAAAAAACATGTCAAGTTTCTATAAAGCCTACCGACATCATTGAAAACAACATGTCAAAGTCGGGGCTTCACGGCTTGCAAGGCTTCGTCTCCCACTGCTGGCGCCTCGAACTCCAAGAGTTTGAGCTCAGCCTCTTCCGCCTTCCATTCCTGCACCTTCTGCTCCATCTGCCAGGGGCGATGGCTTAGGATTTCGGTTTTTCTTGTTTAAGGCTTTAGGGTTTCGGGTCCAACTAGGGGTCAGGGTCCAGGTTTTAGCGGGTTTAGGATCACCAGGACTCGAAACTCCAAACCTGGGCCCAGCGGCCAGCGGAAGCCAAAGAAACACGAAAGACTCCGCCTTGTCTGTGAAGCTGCGCAGCCGCACGGACGTGTCCACCATCTCCTCAACATCCTGAGACGTCTTGCGATTTGGTTGTAGGCTGAACCCTTCCTCCAGAACTCGAGAAGCCTGCAAACAAATCGGAAAGCCAGACTTGAGGCTGTATGAAAACATCAAGAGAACCGACTTCAACCTCAACTCACCCAAGAAAAACAGGGTTCCTCCGCTTCAGGCTCTTGGTGTAATCCTTACAGGCACTCAAGGCCTCCCATGGACAAAAGTTGAAGCAGCCTAGAGCAAACTCTCCTGCACTTCGAGCTTCGAAACCCTTCGAAGTGCAAAAACTTGGAGCCTAGTGGCCTAGCCTTCCGCATGCTATGACCGATGCGATTTCGATGATGACTTATTGCTAGTTGTGCAGTTAATATATTGCTACCATACTACTACGAAATCCCACCCTTTTAACCCGTTGGTATCAACGTTGTTTCCTATTCGGATAGAGCTCCAGCAGCATGTATGTTGCATGGCTGTAAAAAATGATTCTTTGTGCGGCTGCTGCTTCGGTCACACCGAGTCAGTTAAGTGTGGACCGTCATTCCTGTTGCTGATATAGCTGGCTGGGCTGCTGATGTTATCCCTGTTGCTATGCTTGTCGTTACGACCCCCAGTGTCAGCAGCATAAAGATGGTGGCCCTGTTGGCTTGTGCTGCTGCATGCTGCAGTTTTTACCTGGAACTGGCTTTGCAATCCTACCAGCAAGTGCTTGCGGCTATGAAATTTCCTCCTCACCTCGTGCGGCTTCGGCAAGGGGGACGCACCAGTATCAACCACAGCCTGAGCCCTTGAGCCTGGAACCTTCGTCAAGGGCACCGAAGCCCTGCCTGACCTCTCCGGTACATCCTCCAACTTGAAACACACCGTGAAAGACAGAACCAATCGGAAAGGACCATTGACTCAGGAGAATCAGATACATTATCAAAGCACCAAGTCTGGCCCCCACATGCCCTATGAAGCCGTGCTGGAAGTCTGGAACAAAGTCCCCTCAACCCACACGTGTCACTAGGCCCCGCGGCACAACAATCTGTGTCCAGCAGTGCCCGTGTCAGCAAATCGCTTTCGTCTGCTGCTACCTGCAAGGCTGCAGACAAGCTATAGTCCATGTTGACAACATCGTCCCTATCCACTTCTTTTCGGCATCATCATCGCCACCGTCAGAATCATTGCCGTCATCATCTGCCTGGCCATCGTTATCCTGCTCCGCGTCGCATGACCAGCATCATCACCAACACACAGCGTACCACACATCTTGTATCGTCCATTGCATCTCGTAAAAAACTACGTTGTTTTATTTCAAGCATACCCTCGACTATTGGGTCAGTCGCCGCCTTGTGGTCTGCTCGTATTTATTTGCACTCATACGAGAATCATCAGACACATGTGTCTACCCTGGTCTGAACGCCTGATGACACATGTGAACTCTCGATCCTTGAACCTGCAAAGCCCTCAACCCTTAAACCTTCACTTCTAAAGTCCGCAACTTCACAGTGAGCAATGCGCATGGTATCAATGATGACAGCGGTGCTGGCGATGTCAGGACCAGCTATTGCAGCAAGAATAGCAATATCAGCAGCTGCCATAGAAACAGAGTAGGAATGGTGTAGATATCGTACTACCACCAAGGAGCCCACTAGAAGGACGTATACGTTGCGGAAGTAGCCAAAAGCCAAGAGTTCAGGAAGCTCATTTTCATTGGTTTCTCCCCTTCCTTCGATGTGGGTGGTTCTCTAAATTAGGGTCCCTGTGTAGGTCCCCAATATAGTACGGCACCCTTATAAAAGGACCGCCCAAAACGGACCCCAATTTAGACAACTACACATGTGGGCACCTCCCAGGCTCCGCCCATGACCACTTCGATCCAGTCGAGCAGGCGCAACATGCTTGCTGGCTTCTCCTCCTGTCAAAGTGGAGCTGCGTGGTCCGGGGTTTCGAACATTTTTTAGCTTTATGCACCAACCTCTCATTGATGGACATCGCAGCACCTGGCCTACAAGGTGGCTGCATTGCGAAAAGGTTGCGTGGGACTTCCATTTGGGGGGTTGTCCTGGTGTTCTACGCTCGTTTTAGAGAATACCTCGTCCTTTGCGAATGACTCTCTACAAAGGCGGGAATGCCGGCTGTATCTGGATTGATTGAAGGAGGGCTCGTCGGGTGCTGGATCACATGCCCTAGCCACCATCACCATCCCCCTCAGCTCTCCGACACTTCCCTCCCGGGATGCCCCTGCACGTCTCCAGCATTGAACTCCTCAGCTCTGCGCAGCAAAACGCTGAGGTCCTTGAAGTGCTCGGCTATGGCCTCTGCTGCTAGACGGAGTGGCTCGCTGCTCCTGCGGCTGATAGCCAGGTGGCAGGCATGAAAGTTGACGGTGACAAGCATTCTCGCAGCAAGGCTGAGGTACATCTCAAGACTATGCACTGCAGAGAACGGCGCAGGTAGCACATATTGTGTGTGACACCACCAAGGATAACACCATGTCACAAACTGTGAGCACTTAGACTGCATAGTGTATTTTGTAGCCGCGAGACTAATGTCGGGGCCTCAATCATTAGAACAGGGTTTTGGGGCCCATTATACTATAGTTATATCAAGGACGTCCCAAGACAGTATCGGTCATTATTGAGGCTCCTATAGTACTCTTAATAATTAGAACCCTGTTCTAATTATTAAAGGGTTGTATAATCAAGAGCCCCCAAAACAGTATCGGTAATTATTTAGGCTCCTGTAGTACCTATAGTCTCCATTGTAATTCCTTTTTTGGTTTAACCAATTATATATTAAGGGAATTTATAAGGTATCCCCCAAAAGGAACTACAATTGAGACTATAGGCAGGCCCTGAAACTCAACGCCCAAAAGGGCCATTATACATTATAATAAGGAGCCCCCAAAACAGTATCGATAATTATTTAGGCTCCTATATAGCTATATATATTATAATAAGGAGCCCCCTAAGCAGTGACTATTTCTATATACTTGGTAGTTTTAATAAGGAACTCCCAAAACAGTATCGGAAATTAATTCGGCTCCTATAGTAGTGCTCGCCTCAGGGTCCATAGCAGGGACGAGGACGACTGGGAGAAGCAGTGCTGGACGCTGTCAGAGACAGCGCGGAGCCTCGGAAGGAGAGGCATTTCAAGGGCCAGGTCGGCAATTTAGGGTTTAGGGTTTGGGGTTTGGGGTTTAGGGTTTAGGGTTGAGGGCTTAGGGTTTAGGGTTTAGGGGTTTGGGGCTTTAGGGTTTTAGGGTTTAGGGTTTACGGTTTAGGGCTTAGGGTCGGCAAGCCCTCGGCAAGCCCATCCCTGCTTGTATCTAATCTAGGAGCCTTAATAATTGGAATAGGGTTTGATATAGGGTTCCTTTAGAGGGTTCCTTAAAGGGCTCTATAAGGGTTAATATAAGGGTTTAGGGTATAGGGGCCTTAATAATTAGAATAGGGTTTTGGGGCCGATTATACCGTTGTTATAATAAGGAACCCCCAAAATGGTACAGGTAGTTATTGAGGCAGCTATATTACTCTTGAATAGTTGCCGGTGATGAGTTCGACGACGGGGATAGTAACGATGATGGTGATGACGAGCCGTGGTGATAAACATGATGCTTCTCGCTGCTGCCGTCAAGGCTGACATGCCAATAGTGGGTTGCCGGGCTCCGCACGTCGCCGTGGGCTCCTTCCGGAAACAATGCATAAAGTTCAAAAGTGCGACAAAGCCCAGGATCAGTTTCGACAGAGACAATATGTAGCAGAAACGAAGTGAAGCGTTGTTAAGTAACTTCAAAGCGACAGCGACAGCAGGACTTACATGACACTATTGTCTTGGATCCGAAGATTTAGCTGCAAAGTGCCCGGCCCTGAACCCTGTAGCCCCTCTTCCCCAAACTCAATCTCCTGTATGTCTACCCCAGCTTACATCCAAGCTGAAGCCGAGGCCACTACCCTTCCAGTTACCGCTCTTGCATAGCAATCTCTACAAAAGACCGAGCCTGACCAAATGACCCGGTGTTGAGAAAACCAATGGAAGGATGCCCAACTCTGTAGCACGATCCTTCTAAAACCCAGACCTCGGAAATGTACACCAACCCAATCTACGGACTGACAAGAAGCTAATCTTAAGGACGAAATGAACCCTAAAAGGGTTTAAGGTTCATATACCATATATGGATTCATAGTATAAGGGTATAGGGCCCCTACATTTACAGGTCATTTCGTCTGTAAGGAACTAAAACTCCAACCCCTGCTCTGCCAATGCGCCAACCTCACCAGGTTGCGGCTTCGGAAGATCTGCGATGAGGCCGAACGCCTGCGAACAAAAAACATCAGATCAAAGTCGGCAGGGCTGGGGTTTATAAGGTTTATAGAGTTTAGGGACATGCTTGCTTTTTTTTGGCACAGGCACAACTCGGATCCTTGCACAGATTTTATGATCTCCCACGCCAAAAATCACATGTAAGCTCTCCAAAGGAGGCTCCCAAAACGAGTCCAAGGTTTCGAGAGAATCACAGAAGGACTCTAAACCCTAAACCCTAAACCCTAAACCCTAACTCTCAAGCTAAGCGCCTCGGCCATGATGATGAAGCAGCTCCTGGTCGGTGAGAGGCCCACATCAGCTCGTGGAGAAGCTTTTGGGCTTTGAGTTTCAGGGCCTACCTATAGTCTCCATTGTAGTTCCTTTTTGGGGACACCTTATACATTCCTGAATATATAATTGGTTAAACCCAAAAAAAGGAACTACAATGGAGACTATAGGTACAACAGATCTCCTGAGAAGCTGACTCAGACCAGTCTGTTCATGACCCATGCAGGAGGGAAGTGCCTGCCAAGCTTGTCGTCCATGAGCATGCTGTATGGTGCCTGCACGTGCACACACGCACTCACTTCTACGCTGGGTTCAGGATGTTGGGAGCGGGGCGAACAAGACATCTCAGCGTTTCTCCTGAGTCAAGACCTGGTCCAAAAGCACATCTCTGTCCTCTCGTCCGGAGTCTGGTCAGGCGAGAAACCTCTCAGACTGCCATGCGTATGGATGTGGACTCAGGTCAACCTGGGATCAGCGAGGTGTGTGGCTGCTTCTCTCCGATGTGACCAAACAGTTGCTGCCACACAGCCGGCCCGCTGTGGAAGAGCACTGATCCGCCCGGCACCCATCCGGGGACTTCTCCAAGACGTGCTAGTGCTACTCTCCCTCTTTCACAGAGCCACGGAGCTGATCACCAACTTTGGGCTTTCACCGACCGCCGTCGCTTGGAGTTGTCACGAAGTCTCATATGTTCCGCAGGCTCATCGACAAGACAGTCGATGCGATCAGCCCGCCCAGGATCGAGCAAAGGAAACAGAGTGCGTGTCCTTCGACATAATATGGCAGTCCAGTCCATGAAGATCGAACACAAAGTTTCTTGAGTGCAAGGTTGCAGCAAAGGCTGCTGGCCTGCACAGTGACTACCCAACTGATGATCGTCCTCCACATTCGCCAACCAATCTTTTCATCCGGGCCATTGCCCCGAAGCCAGTCAAAGCTACTCCATGCCAGCTGCACTGCTAGCAGTCCCACGAGAAGTCCAGATGTAGCTCTTAGTATGGCCTGAAGCTTCGCAGCTGTGTGCGCAACATCCGCAAAGAGCCATGTCCAACCAGACGAGACAGCCCAGCTCAACCAGCCTGTCGATGTGCCGGATAGATAGCCAGGGAATGCTCTTCGCGCCAGGCCATCAGTCTTCAGCGTCCACTCGCAATCTTGTAGATGTCTTGAAACAACGTAAAGATACTGAATAGATCCCACCATCGCTCCCGTGACGAGGCTTAGGCAAAATCGCCAGGCAAAGGGAGGTTGGGAGTTCGAAGCTCTTTTGGCTGGGCCGGAATCCGATTCGAAGCCCTGGCTCGCAAGACACACCTTCCCAACATCCCTCGGCTGCCGGTCCCTGTGGACACCACGAGCTCGGAGGCTTCGGTGGCTCTGAACCAGCGGCTGGCGAAGTGTGGACGGTAGAAAGCAGATCGCGCCGGACAGGAGCAGCAGCACAGACCAGCGCGTCAGAGCTCCATTCACAGAAGGCCGTGCTCTGCTTGCAGCCACCATGGAAAACTGCGAGGCGGCTCGACACACGTTTGTATGCCCTCGAATGCCAAGCCTGTGGTAAGCTTTACTTCGTCTCGACGGCGGCAAATCGGGTGTTCCAAGTCCCACAGCCACCACATTCCACTTCTCGGACATCCTACCAGTGTCCTAGAGATCCAAGAAACACAGAAACAGATGCTTCTGCGGATGAGGCTAGAGCCAAACACCTCGCTCTGGGCAGCATTCCGCGTTAAGGTCTGGATCCTTTCTGGGGAAGGATCTCGAAGTACTCTCAACCAGTACCCTGCCATTGGGGAATTGAAGGAATACTGCGAGACTTACTCGACTCGACTACGAGCTATCGACACCACTGTCTAGGTCATGGCAACATTGCCCTGAAGACCTCCCAGCACCAATCCAAGCAGCGAAAGCCTTAAATCTCACGCACAGAGTTGGCAGTGATGCTGTTGATCCGGCTTGTCTGCATTACTTTGGGTCGCCCAGTTCGGAATGATTCTCATGCAGACATTTAGGCACGATCACAGGCACTCCACGCCTTCCTGGACCCGTTATCTGTCTTCCCATACTACAAGCTCTACATCAGCCTGAAGCCCAACACCTGGGAATCGAACTAAATAGCCAAAGCCAAATACAAGTTCTGTAGGCGTTCGATCGCAAGGTGGGTCCTGCTTCTTTATTGGGAGTCTTGGGGATACTGCCCTCTACGGCCTCCGAGATCATGAATCGAAGTGCCTCTGCGCAGCCCTCGTCCTCGGAATGGCCAGGCCGGCTTCTGGCTTTATCACTTTTCGGCTTAAGTTGGGCCTTGGGAGAAACGAAACTGGGGTTTAGGGTTTAGGGGTTTAGGGTTTAGGGTGTCTTAAACTCTGTGAACAGGATCTTGACCGGCAGCCTGCAAGACTCGGTGGACGAACTCATTTGAGCAACAGGCAGCCTGAGGCACAATCCAGCTTTCGGGCTCGACATCCACTGCCTTCCGTGACTTCCTGCACTGCTCCCACAACAGCTTCAGGCAGGCTGGTATCCGTGAGATTGGAACTTGGTGCAAGGTTCTTTTGTTTACCTGTTCCCTCAGAATTGAAGCCTGCGGCTTTTCGGAGTGCGAACTAGATGCAAAACCCTCAGCAGCCGTTTGCTGTTTGCATCATTTGGCTATCCTGGACAGAGAAAGGGCTTGCTTGAAAGAACAGTGCCCTGATGAGAGAGGCAAGGTATGCCCATCAGCTTCAAGTAGTTGATCTTGCAGCGGTTTCGGGTTCAGGATCTGCAAGACCGGCTCAGGATACTGGTCTTGATCGGAATGTTCCATTTCCACGACAGGTGCCGGGCCCATAAATGCCCCAGCCACTCCACTGACTGCCGAGGCTTGCAGAAACACCCTGCCCACCCCTAAACCTCCATCAGGTTCTACTTTGCATGACTATCTTGTGATCGAGATTTAAGACTGAGATCAGGTGATTTCGAATATTCCGATGGCGATGATCGAGGTGACTGCCCTGAGCGGTCTTCGCAAAAATCCTAAACCCTAGAACCCCTCATACACCTCAAGCCCCAAAACAAACAGCCCCAAACACCAAGACCCAAAAGCCCCGAACCCATGAGCCCTGAACCCCACAAACGGCAAAACCCTAAACCCACGATTCTTGGGCCTCTAACTTCACATCCTCCCCTTGTGCCAGGGCTTCCCAGGTTTGGTCCTCCCACTTGTGGAGTCTCTGGCTGGATCAAGCCCACGTCTTGTTTTTTTATTGGTGGTGCTCCGACCGTCGTAAACTTGCAAACGACTATCGTGAGACATCGTCAACAGAGGCACAACCATCAGAACACTGATGCAAGTGATTATTATGGCAATCTTGGATCAGTTCTTTGGAGCGGACGGTCATTCGGCATGTATTCGAGTATACAAGGTCACGCCCGAGCCCACAGTCACGTGAAGGTTGTGCTGCATTTTGCCACAACGTCATCTTAATTCATCGCCTCTACGGCTACCAACCTTCGATCCAACACCCTAGAAGCCTTCAGTCAACACCGACATAACCGCGCAGGCACCTGAGCAGCCTCCCGGACGCACTGCACGGCCGCCTCCATTCAGCAGTATAGGAGCCTAAATAGTTACCAATACTATTTTGGGGGCTCCTTATTATTACTATTATTATTGTATAATACACCCAAAACCCTAGTCTAACAGGATTCCGGTGTTGGGGCTTCGAAGAGTCGTGTTTCTCAGCTTCGGGAGTTGGGGGGCGCGGGCATCAAGCCTGGGTTTCTTGGTTCAGCCCGCTTCTGTGACGAGATTGCCTGAACATGACCGAGCTTAGGAGGTGGGACGGAGTGGAATATGAAACACCTGAAGTCGAGTGGGTTTACTGGAAAAACCGCACACCTGTGGACCGAGATGCCACAACACACCTACCACGACCGTAAGCTATCGTCGCAGTCTGAGCAGCGGTGTCTAGCAAGGCTCCCGGTCCCAGTCAAAATTGGCATCGAGCGTCCGGGTCAGTGTTGCATCGAACATGCAGAATATCCTTGCCTATGTCTCCTTCAAAGCGGCACGGTAACCTTTATGACAAACTGGGCAAGTGGTGAGCTGGTGGCCACGCGAAGGGCTGAATGGGCGAAACATGGCAAAGCAGCTTACAAACACAATCGAGGCCTCGAGCAAGCCTTCGTGCCGCAGCTATTACAACCAAAGAAGTCCACATGAAGGTGAAGGCATGGGCCTCGATCCGAAGCCAAAAACCGGCGAGAAACCGAAAACACCCTGAAGCCCAGCCGACACTCTGACGCCCGAAATCGATAACTGCGGGCCAGCTTGAGGTCTACCTCAGAGACTTAGAGTTTTCTGGTTCTCTCCAACTTCTGAAAGCTCCAGAAGCATCCCAACCCTAACACCTCACAAGCAGAGCGCCCTCAAACACTACACCTCCTGAAAACTTAAGACACATCTGAACTTCCCCGTGGGCCAACACCTCGCAGAGTATGGCAGCAAAAGTTTGCCTTGCATGGGTGTAGGCTTAGGGTGCACACTTCAAAGGTGCTCTAAGAGTTTAGGGCTTCGGGGCTTTGGGGGCTTTAGGTTTCTTGGACTTTGCGGCTTTAGGGACTCGGGGCTCAACACTGGGGCCATGGGGCTTTCCATCAAGCTCGCTGTCGGCTTCAACTTGACGACCTGCGATCCGAGTTATAGGGGGCCCGGAGGCACAGCTTGGGTGTTTAAGACTTGCACTGTCGAGTTGAATTGGGCTTGGCTCACGATGTATGGTTCAGCGCCGGAGGCCTCTAGGTGTCCTGCTTCGTCTAGTCAGAGCACGGACAGCATAAAGCGCGCGTTCTTCGATGACCCGAAAAAAACCCTGCGCGAGGCTTGCAGTCGGAGGCCCGTAACATATCAGCACCTTTTCGCAGTTTTTGCTGTTGCTGAAAACCTTCCCTAAACCCTAAACCCTAAACCCTGAACCTTATGCACAACATCCTTCAAAGCTCAGAGCCATGAGTAGCTGGCCCCTGCTTCTCCGCCTGCTGCTATGCTGTTACGCAGCGGCTACCCACCTTCAGAACCCTCTTCTGCTCACCATCACCGTAATATAAAGTACCGTAATATAAAGTATAGAGTCCTTAATAATTACCTATACTATTGTGGGTGCTCCTTATTATAAGTATAGTGTAATATACCCCCCCCCCCAAACCCAAAAACCTAGTCTAATTATTAATAGCCCCTTCATTAGTCTCAGCCATGGCACCCAGAACACAAAACTCTCCGGGCCTCGATTCGTCGCAGTGCATGAAGCTAGCCCCGGCGCGCAGCCAGAGCTTCAAGCGATCGGTGCTCGGGGGCCACCACCTGGAAAAGGCCCCTGCGTCGGGGGATTCCAGGGTCTAGGTTCCTGCAGTGCAGGTTCCAGGGTACTATAGGGGCCTTAATGAGTAGAAATGGGATTTTGGGGCCCGTTATACTACACTCATAATAAGGAACCTCCAAAATAGTCTAGGTAATTATGTCCCTAAACCCTAAACTCTAAACCCTAAACCCTAAACCCCTAAACCCCTAAACCCTAAATGTAGGGTCCTTTTGAAACTTACGGCCCTGAGGTCTTCGGACGAGGGGAGGTTTCAAGCTCTAAAGGTCGGGTTGGACTAGGCCCTTGGGGAGATGCCGGGTCTCCTGTCCATACGGTTGAGGATAAAAATCCTGCAGTACCCATAGTAAGGAATATATACCATAATTCCCAAAGAAAAAACCAAAGTTCCCGTGGTTTGGGGTCCTTAAGGAGATGCAGGATTTATATCATCAACAGTAGCACCCACCATCAGAAGTTTGGTATTCATATTGGCATTACTGCTCGTCTTGGTAGCACTGCCCCTAAACCCTAAAAGCCCTTAGCCCTAAACCCCTGAACGCTTCACCCGAACCCTGAACCCTTCGCTTATCCCCGAACCCGACCTTATCACCCCGAAAGAACGATCCTGGCCTTCCCCGCTCTTGTCGCTCGGACTTCTTTCTTGCCTCCTCCTGGTGGGCTTAGTGGTTGAGGGCTTCGGTTTTTGTTGGACGGGTTTTGGGTTGTGTAAGGGCTGTGGGTTTAGTGTGGGGCTTAGGGTTGTAGGCTGCTCGGGCAGGCAATGCGGGAGTATGGTCTAGGATTCGAGGTGTGAGGCGTGTATGTAGGTTTAGGGTTTCTGCAACACATCTTACTGCTGTTTGGTATTTTCTGGATCTGGATTTTGGTATGTACTTTTCGTGCACAATGCCAATTTACTAATACGTACCAACATTAACAGTAGTAGCATGCAGCAGCATAACAACACTATACTATAAAATTCTGAATAGTTGTATATATCTTGATATGATGCCATATCATGCTCTATCATAGTTCTGTAACTATACTGTATGACTGTATGATTACATATGACACTACATAGCAATACGACATCACAGTACTATCAATACAAAATCAAGCTCTGCAAATAACACAAAAACTACTATAAACCCTAATTAAACCCTAAACCCCTAAACCCTAAACCCTAAACCCCTAAACTCTAAACCCCCTAAACCCAAACCCCTAAACCCCTAAACCCCTAAACCCTAAACCCTATAGGCCCTTATAAGCCCTATAAACCCTATAAACCCTATAAGCCCTATAAACCCATATAAACCCCCTACAAAAACCCCTATAGATGACCCCAAAGGTCAGCCTCGGCTCTCGTCGCCAGGATCTCCTCGGAGGAGTCCGGCTCCGCATCGAAGGCCCCGGGATCCTCCGAAAAACGGGGAGGAGCCGGGGGGGCGGAAAGGAGCAAAGGAGATTTTCGGGGGAGTTTCCGATAAAATGAGGGGCACCCTATATTTTGGGGGTCCTTATAATAAGGATCCTGGTATTTAGGGTACTATCTTCGGGTCCCCTATTTCGGAAACCCTCAACAAAAGGGTTACCTTATTTTGGGGGTCCTCATAACAAGGATCC